GTGCGTAGTATAGTGTTTTGAGCGTTTGAACGTCGGTTATGTCGTAAAAAAATCTTTTGATGAATCCCAAGGCTGCTGTAGCTCTCGTTATCGGGTAAAGACATTGCATTTGAATGGAATGAGAAACATGAAGTTGAGTTGAAGAATTTAAAGAAAATTATCACTTCAGATCCAGTTTTAAAGCCATTCAATCCAGAAAAACCAATATTCAAACGGATGCATCAAAAGATGGATTGGGTTCGGGTTTGATTCAAGAAGAACATCCAGTCGCATTTGCATCTAGAACTCTCAGTAAACCCGAACAGAGATGGGCTCAAATTGAAAAAGAACTTTTAGCTGTGGTCTTTGCGTGTGAACGATTTAAAAATTTCATTTATGGACATCGGTTTATTGTTGAAAGTGATCATAAACCGCTTGAAACACTAAATTTGCGCGATATCGATGGTGTCACACCAAGATTACAGCGTATGTTCATGAGATTGTTAAAATTTCCAGGATTGGAAATTGTTTATAAACCGGGAAAATCAATGTTATTGGCCGACTGTCTGTCTCGTGCACAATTGGACACACACGGGGAAGAAACGGAATTAAGTAATGTCATCCATGCTGTGACAATATCTGTTTGTGTGTCGAGGGATAATTATGAATATTACAAGCGGATATTAGAATCGGATGAAAACCTCAAACGTGTATGTGACTACGTTAGAAATGGTTGGCCAAATTACAAATCATTGGATGAATCTTCACGGACATTTCACAAATTGAAATCGGAATTGCATTTCGAAAATGGGTTGTTATTTAGGAATCATAGATTGGTAATTCCATCGAAATTGCAATGTAAGATGGCAAAATGGCTGCACGAGCCACATATGGGAATTGAGAAAACACTTTCAAGAGCAAGAATGTTGTATTTTTGGCCGGGAATGAATGCACAAATCAAAGAAATGATTACGTCATGTGATATTTGTGAGAAGTTCAAACGGAATAATCAAAAAGAGCCATTAATGCAAGAAATAAATCCAAAATATCCATATCATATCGCATCTGTGGACTTATTTGAGTATGCGGGGCGTGATTTTATTTCAATTTTCGATGCATACTCAAATTTTCTGGTTGCAACCAAAGTTAAAAATAAGACATCTGGGCATATTGTCGACATATTTTGTTCGATATTCAACAAAATTGGATATCCATCGATAATTAAAAGTGACAATGTTCCATTCAACTCAGCTGAATTTGAGAAATTTTCTCGAAATTTCAATGTTCAATTTAAATACTCAAGCCCCAGATATCCACAAAGTAGTGGTTTACCCGAAAAAGGAGTAGCAATTGCTAAAAACATATTGAAGCGTTGCTACGAGGCAAATGAGGCGGATCAGTTTCAATACAGAATATTGGAATATAATACTACACCGGTAGCAAGCATGAATATGAGTCCATCTGAACTATTCTTTAGTAGATTGATCAAAACAAAATTGCTGGTATCGGAACAATTACTTGTCAGAAATGATATGAAAGAAGTCATTCAAGAAAAAATCAAAAATAAAAAAGAAAAGCAAAAATATTACTATGATCGAAACGTAAAGTCGTTGCCATCATTAAGCATAGGGGATTTGGTGATTTTCAAGAAAAATGGGAAGGAATGGCACTATGGAAAAATATTTGGTATAGTAAATGATCGTTCATACATTATTGTGGATTCATTTGAAAATCACTTTAGACGTAATCGTAGATTCATAGCAAAAACTCAAAATGCAGATTTTAATGCTAGTGATTTGTTATAAAGAAAATATCACACCTAGACAATCAAACGATTTGCCAGAGATCAAAATTGTAAAACCAACTGAAAATACTAATGTGAATGATAGTCAAATAACAAATGTGCCTGCAGACAATGTGAATGCTGATGAATTGGATCTTTCAGTGAATGTTGAAAATAACTCGGCATCAGAGTATGATACCGCTGAAGGTGAAAATTCAGATGTAAGTTCGGGAAGTGATAGTGAAGTTGTTATTCAACCTAACAATGTTCAATATTCTGTCATGTTCTTCCTCACTAGAAGCTACTATTCCAATGTCATCAAAGTACACAAAGACCCCAGGTATGTCCGCAAAAATCTGGACCATACGTCTTTGGAAAATTTCCGGTGAAATATTCAGACCAAACGCAAGTCTGTTGAATTTATACCGACCAAAAGGTGTCATAAATGTAGTCAGTTCCGAACTCTTTTCGTCTAACTCCAATTGCCAAAATCCATTTGAGCAATCCAAAACTGTAAATATTTTTTTATTAGCCAATTCCGAGGTTAAATCATCGATGGTGGGAATCAAATAATGTTCGCCTTTAAGGCACTTATTGAGTGGTTTTGGATCCAAACAAATGCGTAAATCGCCATTGGACTTCTCTACAACCTGCAAGTTGTTTACCCAATCAGTTGGATAAGATATCGTAGAAATGATACCCGATTCTACCATTTCATCGAGTTTTGGCTTGAGTTTTTTAACGATTGTGTCGGGAAAACGCTTTTTATAATGCATGACCGGTTTAGCATCGTCTTGTAAATGTATTGTGACTTTTCCCAGAATTTTTCCAAGTCCAGTGAAAACATCATTATTCTCACTTACAAACCTTTCTTCCGCGTTTGAACATTTGATCGAATCAACATTTACTGCCTCAATCAATCCAAACTCAATGCAAGTTTCAAGTCCCAGTATCGGTTCAAACGTGTCATCCTTAACAATGAATTCTGTTATTCTTTCAATATTCAATTTACAATCCCACATTTTAATTTCGGCAATACCATAAATCTTAATTTTATTGTTACTATAATCGAATACAGGAAAGTCATTTTGCTCGTGTTTCATTTTAATTTTCATTTTCTTGATGATTCTCAATGGAATGCAATTGACATCTGCTCCTGAATCGACTTTGAATTTTACTTATCTTATTCCCTATTCGGTATGCCTTGGTCCATCGCTTTCTTTTCAGTCCGATTGAATTTATTCTAAAAATGTAATTTTTAACACTAAGAATTGTTTCCAATTTTCGACGTCCATTCACTGAATTACCTGACGATGAAACATCGTTCCAACGGAGACTGTCAACAGCTGACTTGTCATTCGATTTCGACTGAGATCTACCCGATGATGAAACTTCCGATTTCTTTCCTTTGCTTCGACACATTCGGCGAAAATGACCCTTTTTCCCGCATTGGCACGTGAAGTTCTTGGCTGGACATTTGCTCTTATGCTCTCTGTCCCAATCGCCACCACAGTTGAAGCACGTACGTTTCTTGCCCATGTTGATTGCATCAACTGAATCGGTGTCTGTGTTTTCCGATAGGGCTATTGCCGCAATTGACTGTTTCGATGCCAAAATGCCTTTGTGAACATTTGCTGATTCAAACGTTTTGCATATGTCCACCACACGATCCAATGTTTCATCACGACCATCGAGTAATTTCAACTGGAGTTTCTTGTCATACACTCCAGTGATTATGCGATCACGCAGCATCCGACTTTCGTACGACAATCCACATGTGCAATTGAATTCACAGCGTTCGATTTGTGCACGAAGTTCCGTTAAAAATTCGCTGAACGGCTGACGTTCCTTTTGCACCATGTTGTTAAATTTGTACGATTCCATCGTCACATTCTTTTGCGGCAAACAGTGATTATCAAACGCTGTCAACACTTCATTCAATGTTCGCTGTGTAGTTTCGTCCCGTGTTGTTGCCGCTGCAGAAGCTGTTGCTGGGACCCATCGTTCGGAAACAGAGTGTTGTAAATGTTGGCACCTTTCGTTCCAATCAACCAAAGAAAAATTGCGATTTTTGTTGGTTCCGTTTGGTTGTTTTTGTTGTTGGCGATCATGTACACCAAAAAATTACGTTTTCAATTCTTCCAGTCCACTGACAAATTTGAGCAATCAAGCTCTCTTAGATCCCTTCGTGTGTCAGTCATTTTGCTTAATTTCGATGGTACCGACTTCAACCCATGAAATAATATCTAAATTGTTTAAGAAAGATCGGGCAAAAACTACGGACAGACGGACGGACAGAAAAAATATTATCTCTTGTAGTTGTTTTTTTGAAGAATTTCTTTTTTTGATATTTCAAATTTAAATTTTTAGTAGACTTAACCAAAGTATCATTGTGTGCAAAGACTTCCACTAAAACCGAATCATTTTTTAAGTTTTCACCGCTGTGACTAGAATCGGTAATGTTCGGGCATGTATGCCCATGTAAGTTGCAACATTCACGCTTATTTTGGATAATCAAAACCCTCTAAATGCCCATCTAACACCTTTTCAAGTTCATCCAAATGATTGACCAAATCTTGTTTTTCTGCAATGATTTTCATGGCATGTGCTTCTGCCAGTTCCATTAGCTTAATATTTTCATCCTCAAATCGCTTCTGTTCAGCATGCGCGGCGGCGATTTTAACTTTGAGTATACTGTGTTTTGTTTTGGCCTCATCAGCTTGCTTAGTCAACTTATGAGTACAGCTTTCATTCTTTTTGTTCTTTATTGTCGATTTTTTCTCGAGCACCTCATTTTCGAAAGAGATCTTCTCATATTTTTTCTTGATACTATCAAATTCTTTCGTCAATGCTTCCGATTCTGCTTTCAGAACGTTTAATTTGCTAGTTGCCTTGTCGAGTTCGATTTGTGTTTTATGCTTTTGAATTTTCACGACACTGAAAATATGTGACAACGTTTGTTCCACATCTTTTACTAGCTAAAATAGAAAAAAAAATTAATATTGAGTGTTTCAATACAAGAAAAGAAAACATTCTTACTTGAACTGATGGACTTGCCGGCAGATGTAGCAGGTTTAATTCCTTTTCGCCAAAATTAATTTGAGTGTTGTTTAGCACTTTTACGATTTGCATTCCGCGATCGTTGATCTTATTAATCGCTTCAGAAACCTTCTTTAATAGTCTGGCCCGCGTGATCTGCTGAATTGAATCCTCATCTCGAATGAGTTTGATTTCATTTTGAACTGTTCCAACCGCTGTTCTCATCATAGACAAATTTTCGGCCAATTTTCTATAGTCGGCAATACTGTGCTCTTGCTGTTGAATTTGAGTGGCAAGTGCCTGAATTTTCGATTGAGACTGTTGCACTTTGGCGCGTATATCTTTCCAATTCACTTGTACGGCAGCCAATCGATCACGCTTATCCTTCAGTTGATTCTCCAGATCATGTTCCATGGTCTCGTATTCGACGTATTTCGATTCCAGTTGTTCAAACTGATGCAAATTGTTCAACTGCACCGGATTATCAGCCAATTCTTTCGATTTCATTTTCAGATTGTCGGTTAATGATTGTAGCTCAGCAGCTGTTTCAACCTTGTGATCCAATTTGGCAGCGATGAGTTCATCGGTGAAACGATCGATAAATGTTGCATGGTCATCGCTTTCATTGTTCCACAACAGATAACCATCTTGAATGGCCTTGGAAAACATCGATGTGTATTCTTCATTTGGGAATTGTTCATCCTTGACGAATAGACACTTGTCCAATATTGAATCATCGGACGCTATAGTTGACACGCTGCTAACACTTCCCAACCACGAAAGCATCACCACAATTTGATCAAATGTATGCGGTGCATTGGGTGTCTTAAGCATGGATTTGTTTACAACGAATGGGTACTCAACGGATTCGATAAAATTAAGAATGCCATTTATCGGGTCACCACCCTTTATGAATGTGTCCAAATCCTTTCCGCAAATCAAGCGAACGAAACGTCTTATTATCATGTAGAATTGATTGATGGTCATTGTTTTTAAGCAACCATTTTTGAGATTCAGATCAGCATAGAACGATTCGTCACGTTGTAGAATCTTCTGAACTTTTATCATGTTCTCATGTTTTGATTTCCGTGAACTGTCTGGTGGCATCACTGAGTGGCGCACAGCTGGTGATCGGCCAAGGAGCGGCGTTGACATTGTCGCAAATCGGCTTGGCGTGTTCAAATAATTGTCACTGCCATAACGACGCAAGCCACCTGAAGAACGGCCAATTGTATCTCGCGATAAGCGGGTTCCACTCGATGATCGAGTCGCACTCGACAGTAGAACCACTCGGGGCCCAATGGATGAAGGACGTGGAATATGTGACGGTCGTGAGAGTGTTGCTCCTCGGCCCACGATGGAAAACCGATTTTTCGAAAGCGGCAATTTACTTTTTCTGTCGACGAAAAGTCACACATTTTCAATGGATGTCAAAGAAATGAAAAACAAGCAAACCAATATAAAACACTTGATACAAACCTTGTTGAATCGGGCTTTCTGTTGCTGTACGTGAGTTTTCCTTTCTCGGACATTTTTCAATTTACAATAATAACCATTGACTCGAACAGACAGACCAAAGTTTGTTATTTTTACTTTTCAGCGTGCAAAACCCCACTTCATTGAATTGCGCTTATTATATTGAATATACACTTGGGCACGCAGTGGTGAGAATTGAAACTACTCGCCATCATTTGAATGTAAATTTGTTGTGATTTGAATGGTTCAGACCACTATACACAGTCGCACGTATATCCATCTCGCTCGCACAACAATATTCGAATCGAATCTAGGGCAACACCAATTGACAAGCTTGGAAAAAGTAAAATTTGCACTAGAAAACTCAGTTAAATTTGTGATTTTAATTATTTTCTCTTTGTTTTCATCGGTGATATTGTTGGATATTGGGATTGTTTGGAAATAATTCTTGCATTTAGCACATGTTTTACTCACATACTTTGCGTTTGACCCGTTTTGACAGTTCAACATGTGCAAAGCGTCAAACCGACAATTTGTGTGCCAGTGTGACATGCTGATTTAGTACTGTCACTGCGGAGATGTTTGCTTGAAAATCATATTCATTTTTCGAAAAAGTTGTGTAATTCAAAAGGAAGAATAAGATAAAAATGGAAGGTTTACTAATATTGAACAAACTTTCGCTGAAGGTGTTGAGCAGCCAATTTAACCAGTGTACAATATTTGTTCGAAGGTTATGTTCGGTGGAAAAACAAAGTGTTTTTAACAAGAACAGCAATGACGCTGAAACCAAAGAACAGCACGACGAGGTGCCTGCAAAAAAGAAAACCATCAAAGTGGCAATCATTGGAGCACCAAACTCCGGCAAAAGTTCATTCATCAATAAAATCACCAACCATCGGACATGCCCAACTTCGCGGAAAGTCCACACAACATTGACCCAATCGACCAACATTTATAATAAAAAAAACACACAAATGATCCTCTTCGATACGCCCGGCTTCACCACCGTCAAAGAAAACATAAAATATAATTTGAATGATGAGTATATACGGGCATGTAACAGTTCCATCGAAAATGCCGATTTAATCGCTCTCATTCATGATGTTTCCGATTCGTATACGAGAAATGTAGTGCATCCAACCATTTTGGAAGCGCTTGTCTCCAACAAAAGCGTGCCAAGCATTCTAATTATGAACAAAATTGATATGGTACTATCGAAACGAATTCTGATCAATTTGGTACAAGTTCTGACAGAGGGAACATTGACGTGCAAAGAACGCCAATATTTACCGTGGAAAGGACGCGAAGAGAAGTTTTTAGCCGATATGAAGCGACCGGTCAAATACAAGAACGACAAATCAGTTGGTTGGCCATATTTTTCCGAAGTGTTTCTGGTGTCCGCTATCTGCGGTGATGGAGTTGAACGGGTTGCCAACTATATTTCCAAACAGTCACGTAAAAAACCATGGGAATATCCAGAGTACCAATTCACCGATCAACGACCTGAAGATCTTATTATCAACAATGTTCGAGCCGCTTTATTGGATTTCCTACCAAAAGAGATCCCATATCAACTGCAATGCGAAATGGAATTATTTGAAGTAAAGGAAAACCGTATTCATGCTCATGTTAATATACATGCGAAGAAAAAACGCCACAAAGAAGTGATTAGCGGCGTTGATAACAAACGTCTCAAACAAATTTCTGAAGTAGTTGAATCGAACATTATTGAACTGTATAATTCGCATGTGTCGATAGTTTTGAATGTTTTTGCCAAAACATAAATCATTCGAGAAATCCACTTTCGATACAAAGCCACGGCGGAACAACCCCTGCAATGATTTATGTAGAATAATAATTTTTTTCCTGGAAATTCAAATAAACATTGAGAAAATAGCAAACGTTTTGGTCTTATTTTGACGACTTTCAATCCTCTAGTAAATCTCCATTGTTTTTTTCTATTAAATTTATTTTCAGCGATAAATTTTACCACAAATGATTCAATTCAACTGGAATTTTTCGCATTAATTTTCATTTTACTTTTCCGCAAACTTGTTTGTTAGGAAAAGTATTGGTTTTACTAGCCAAGATTTCATGACATCTCTTTCGGACCACTATAACGTCACGCCAAACTTGAAAAAACACATCAAATCCTATCGATCAAGACCTATCTACCCCCAAAAACATGTTTACTATGAAATATGGGCAAAAGGGCTCGAAATTTCCTTTTGTTTCCGAGTTTGATTTTGCCTCAAAACGAATTTTGCCTCAGATCCATTAATTTCTTCACTATAGACCGGATTTATAAACATGGAATTGCATACAGAATAGTTACTGGTTGGTTTTGTTTTTGTTTTTAAACTGCTTATATCACCATAAGCATTTTCAATTGTTATCTGTGGCAGGTTAATAAAATAGTCATTGAAAGCGAATACTGTGTCAAGTTCATTTAGTGATTCGCCCAAGCCATTTTTTATATCAATACCACATATACACGATTGAGAACGAAAAAATTGACCGTGTTGAAGTGATGAAGGATCTGGGCGTCATTTTGGATGTAAACATGAATTTCAATGCACACATTGAATTCATTACCGCCAAAGCAAAGTCAAGATTGGCATGGATCAAACATTTTGGGAGAGATTTTGAGGACCCATGGACAATTAAGAAATTATTTTTCACATTTGTACTACCGATTATCGAATATGGCTCACAGATTTGGAGCCCATACACCGCTGAAAAGATTGCTCGAGTTGAATCCGTTCAAAAGCAGTTTTTATTATTTGCACTGCGTAAAATGAAATGGTCCCATGGATTTAAGTTACCACCATACGAATGTCGATTGCTGGAATTGCAAATGATAACGCTTGCGGAACGAAGAAAGATAGCTCAAATTACAATGGTACATAATGTGTTATGCGGGCATACATCATCGAGACATATTATGAACGAAATCAATATTAGAACACCACGGCATTGGACAAGAGACACAGCATTCCTATCTCTACCAGTACGACACCGTGATTACTCCAGATTCGAACCAGTCAATCATATGCTGTCTACGTACAATGATTTTTATAACAAATTTGTGCCAATTAAGCCACCTTTAATTCATAAAGAAAATAAGAATTATCATAATGTTCCTACTCCAGTCTGTGATACCTATTTAATTGATTTTAACACGAGTACAAATACTGTTAAACAGAGAATTAATGAATATTTTAAAAGAAATAGATTATGGAGAGAGTGATAAATTTTATGCAAATATAGCAACTTAATTAATGTAATATAATGTAAATATACAAAATAATATTTATATCAAATAAACCACCTCTGGCGAAGAAACGCTGTATGGTGCAGAATAATAATAATAATAACCATTATTTTTAGTTTCTGACTTATTATAAAAAAGTGAATTAATATTATTCCAAAATTTCTTTGGGTTATCAACCTACTTGGGTTATCCACTTGCGCACCTGAATTTATGCCTCTCTGGGCATAGTAGGTAAATTCGGTGAGATTAGAT